TTAATTATGATTTTCAATCAATTATTATGTAAAATATTACATAAATTTTTAATTTTTATTAAAATACATTATAAATTTATTCTAAGTCTATTATTTTTAATAAAATTTCATTTTTAATAATTAAAATATTAATATATATAAAATTTTGATTTTAAATTTATGATTTTTTTATATATAAATAATATTTAAATTATATAAATAAATGTTTTAAATATAAATTTATATATTTTATAAAGTTTTTTAATAATATAAAAAGAAATAAAAATTAAAATTTTAGCTTTTATAAAGAAAATACTTTTATTAAAAGATTTTTAAAACTTTGATCTTAAATTAATATAAAAAACTATTAATTAATGTAATTTTTTTTGATTTTAAATAAAAAACATTATAAAAATATTATTGGTTTGATAACTAATTTTTAATATAATTAAAATTAACTTTAAAGTGTAAGAAAATTCCTTTTAAATTTAGAAGGAAAACTATTGAAGTGATAAGGTAAATTTAATAAATTTTTGTATCAAAAATATAAAATAAATTAAATATTTTATATATTATAGATCTTTGAATGCAGATGAATTTTCATTATTAAATGATTAAGCAAAAAAGAAGTTCAAAAATATGAAAAAAAGGATAGCAAAATATATTAAAAAAAAATTTCAGCTATTTTAGAAAAGTTTTTTTAGCTGAAAATATTGATCAAAATTATCAAATGACTGCTCAAGATATATTCAATTTATTGAACTCAAAAGTACAAGTGAAAGAAATTGAGAGTTTGAGCATACTAAACGTAGTAATTATATAGGATTAGATAATCTATTATACAATACAAATACATGAAAAAAATGTTCAAATAGTACTTAAAAAAGCTTATTAATAATATAAATTAGCACTTTATATTCTTATAGTATAATCATTTGGGTGGAAATCTGATGAAGCATTAAATAAAATAAAAAAATTTATTATAAAATTTTTTAAAAAATATATTATTAAAAACGTAGGATAAATGTTATATGTTACAAGTATTTTATTATGTTTAATTTAATATTAAAGATGGTTACTCAAGAACGAAAAACTAGCTTTTACTAAAAATTGATTAGTGATCGATAAAAATTTGCATCAAAATTATATATAAATTTTTTGCAGTTAACTTGCAGATCATTAATTAAATTAAAATTATTGATCAAGAATAAAGATGGTTTGCATAATTATTTTAAAATTTTTAACTAGTTGCAATTATTTATAAATTTTATATTAAAATAAATTTACAAGGAGTTGCAACCAAGTTGCAACTCAAGTTGTAACTTACTGAGTTGCAACTTTTTAATTATAATGCTCATCTTTAATCAAGAACTTTAAATTATATTATTGTTAAATATGCTGATCAATCAATCAGTATAACTGATCGATCAATTAAAGATCTTTGACTAACTGTTTACTAATTATTAATTGATCATAATCAACTATTATCATTTTTAATTTGAATAACTACCTATTATATCTTATAAATAAGTCATACATTTTCAATTTTATATAAATTATTAAAATAAATCTGCTTATATAATCAAACTTCTTTAAATGCATTCTCAAGACTGACTGAGCTTAAGAATGCATTTAGAGAGAATATGTATTAAGTAAAATCATGTATTTTAATGGGATTTTGTGATATAATAACAATAAATTTATTTGTTTATATTATATCTGATATTGGATTTATAATTGATTCTTTTATTTATTAAATATTTAATGAAAAATTTGTATTGTATTATTAATGTTACTATTTATTATTAAATAAATTGATTGTTCCTAAATTTTTTATTATATATAGTCACATAATATATATTTAGAAAATAAATTTATAATATAAAAGGATTAAAAAACTTCTTATATATGTAGAATATAGAAGATGCATTTAGTATTTAAGACTTAAGCTTAAAACTAGACTAAACTATGTATATAAAAAGGTATATATTTATAAAGGTTATATTTAGAGAGTTCTTATTATACTCATAAATACCTTGAGTTATTTTATTATTATAAAGATATTGAATGATAAATAGTTATTTCAAAACAAATGCATGTAAAACTATTTTTTTTATATTTTAACTATTTCTATAATTTAACAAAAGAAATTTTAATTTTTTTAATGATTTTAAATAAATTAAGTAATTTATTATACTTGCTAATTATCATGCTGGCCTTAATTTAATTATATATTTATGATCATAATCATATGAATATTTCATTTAATAGTTATAATATAAAGTTATAAAAGAATATATAAAAAATAATTAGATATTGAGTGATAATATACATTTTAAAAATAAAGATGTATATAATTCATTTATAATACTACATATATTAAGAATTTTTTTAGAAATCTACTTTTATTTGGGAAATAACTATTATAATTTAGAGTAAAAGAATAGTTAAAAATGGTTAAATTTTTAATTTGCATGTAATATTAAAGTTTCAAGTTTTCAATATTATTTAATATAAATGACCTATAACTGTAATAATAAGTGATAAATATCAGTAATAACTTTAAGAATTTTGCAGGTATAAGTATGAAAATCAATTATATTTGCAAATCTTTGAGTAGTTTTAATTTCAAAATCAATTTAATATTAAGAATGAAGTTATTGTAAAATATAATCTTTATATTTCACTGATATCTTTTTTCTGTTTATATTAATTAAATATATAAAATAACTAGAATAGGATTGATAAAAATAAGCAATAGTTTATGTTTTTTTTTATTAGAATTTTTATGAATCATGATTATTCCTTTAATAATTTTCTTTCAAATTTAGAAGAAATTTTATTTATTAATTAAAGTTAATTTTGTTAATTTTAGTGAATATTTTTAATAAAAGTATTTTTTTTATAAAGCTAAATTTTTAATTTTTAATTATTTTTATATTATTAAAAAAACTTTACAAAATATATTAAAATATATTTAAATTATTTATTTATATGTTTATTATAAAATCATAAATTTAAAGTAGAAAATTTTGTATATATTTAATATTTTAATTATTAAAAATGAAATTTTATTTAAAAATAATAAATTTTATCTATGTAGAATATTGGGTTGAAAATTATGACCAAGTTTGAATGAAAATTATTACCATTTAAGGGATAGTAGGAATTTTTACGCTACACAAAAAAATTCATATTTATTTTCAAGATTAAAATGAATTGTTTACGCCATATTATCAGTCTATGAAATTTTTTTCTATATGTATGTTACAACAATTCCGAATATTTTATATATTTAGTTCTGTTTTTTTTTTTAGCTGGATTATGACTAAGATTTTATTTTAAATTTAAATTTAAATATATAACTGAAACGATTTCAGTAAAATAAATTACCAATTAATGTGATTTGCAAGGGAAATTTGGTTTATCCACGTGTCGAATTTCACGTGCAGATCCGTTAAATTTTATTATAATCCAACCCAAAAAATTTACTTTTATTATTACTGCATAATAAATTATCTTAAGTAATATATTATTAATGACCCTGCAATTTAACGCTTGCAGGTAATTATACTTGAAACGATCCTGGATATCACAAAAGCTTTGGCTTTGATTTTCTCAAAAACTAGATTTCTCCAGACGGGCTATTTTATAACAATATAACAAACATTATACCAAAGTAAATAAAATCATAAAATTCAATAGGTTTGTTTAAATTTTTAATATCATATATCATTAGTCCTTCGTTAGCCAACCCAGAAGTTTTGCTAATTCTCTAAATTAACAATAAAAAAATCACGTGCCTTTTATTGATTGCAGGTCACAGGTCATCGTCAAATGAGGTCATTTAGACCTGAAATGTAATAAAATTGATGTCATTTCAAGGGTGTTTCAGGGTCATTTCCAAGACTTACATGACAGTTAAACTGGTAAATCTTTAACAATTTAAATGCTCAATTTCAAATAAAATTTGTGACCATGTCGGAACCTCGTGATTTTGATACATCCCACTAATAAATAATTTCATTTGATCAACATAATTAAATTACTTGGAACTTTTATGGAATACAAAATATTCCAAATGACAATGCTTTTCATGTACCAATGGGAATTCCTAATATTCAATGTTTGTTATGTTCCAAAAAAAATATATTCAATGCATTCCCACACATGGAGGTTATGGTAGCACTCATCCGAATTCTGTGAGTGCAAATGGTGCATCACAATTTCTGGTAGTCCCAGCAATATTTAGTCTTCCTAAAACATTCCATTGTAACTAAGATACAACATGATTGAGAATAGTTCTAGACTAACTTGGCACTCTTTAATGGAACAATTGGTTCACACCAACAGATTGTGCTGATCCGTTTTACAGAGCGAGCATCAACCCTATTGTGTAAAGGTATTCCCACTATCTTGCTATCCATTGATCATGCAAGATGATCCTAACAATGCGTTATTTTTACAATACGCTTAAGCACTTTGTTTTATTACATTCAAATAACTTGGCACCACACGTTTTTTTTGTGCATCGGTGAAATAGATAATTAGTGTAAATGATTAGATTAATGTATTTCATAGGAATTTCGGATATTTAATTTACAAACATTTTACGACATAATTTTATGCCACGACAAAGTTAATCGGGTATTCTTTGGCGTGAAATGTTTAAAATTTCAGAATTGGAATCTCGTGACATTTTAGCGATACCTTTACACAATTTGGATATATCGAAAATTTAACAGAAATTATACTTGGAATATTACTTTGAGATGACATTATTATATACATTATTTTTAAAATTTTCAATAGTTTTATTATGTATGAAATCATTTTTTTTTTTTAATATATATATTTAAACATATATAAAAATATATATATATAATTTTTTTTTTTTTTAGGATAAAAAATCAATCTTTATCCGAATTTTTGAACCAAATCATATTATACATTAAAAGTACATTAAAAATATTAACAAAAAAGTGCTTTACAAACGAAAGCTCGTAATATTTCGTATATAATTAAAATTTCTTTTGACACCATATTCTATATATTTCACAATCAGGTGCAACGCCCTCTTCAATTTCTTTCTTAGCTTCCCCAAATAGTTCAATATATTCTTCTCGTGACATGTTCATAACTTTGCTCATAATTTCAGGCATGGGATCATTCAAGAAAAATCCATCATGTACTTCCAAATAAGTTTGTCCGACATTTCCCCCTTTCTTCGTCCCTAATGGCACTATGGCAACTTTTGATTCAATATTTTGCACCATTTGCGTTGAGTTTAAGATTTTGATAAGGTTTTTATACATTCGTATTCTTACATTACGGGATTCGCTTAATTCGATCACTAATTATTGTTTAAAAAAAACAAAAAAAGTTTGATTAATTTTTTTTTACGAAAATTTAAATTTTAAAAAAAAACCATAATCCCAAGGGAAAGATGTATATCTTACATGCATCATAGAACCTTTTAAGTATTGGACCAGTTTTAGGTGCTAATTCAGGTTCGGTGAATTCTATGTATCCGCCCGGCTTGCACACTCTGGATTAAATTAAAATAAGAAAAAATCAATTTAAATTATAAATCGCAAAAACGACTTTCGGACGAAACGTGAATTTACCTTATTAGTTCTGATATGATGAAATTCCACTGATCTATTGTATATACTTCAACCATATTTCCTTGGTGTACGTAGTCAAACGAGTTGTCTTCGAATGGAAGCCCATTCAAAACATCTTTTTGCATAAATTCCACGTTATTCGGTTTAATCTAAATTGATGTAATTGTTAATTTATTATTATTTTTTAATTTTAATTATTTTAGAAAATTGGATAAATTAAAAAATTACTTACTTCTGATGGAAATACAGTGCATATATCGATTCCGAGGAAGTGCGATGACTGATAATTTGTCGCCGATTCTAATAACCAAACTCCAGCCCCACAGCTGAATTATCCGAAAAGAAAGAAGAAAAAGAAAGTGTGAACTTTTATTTCCCTGACGACAAAAATCACAAACGGAATGAATTACTTACCCCACATCTAAAACTTTACAATTTTCATATGTCAAGATTTCCTCAACTGGCGAATTATGGATACTTTGAAAAAGATACCTCCCAAGGAAATGTAACAAGACCATTATATCTGTATCTTTCATAAAATTTGCTAAATAATATTTTAATGGTTCTTTTGCATTTTCCGCGTTGTTTTCATATTTTTGGATAGTTCTGGTATGTGCTGATTTGATATGTGTTGATTTGGTATGTTTGGTATGTTTTAATTTAAATTTCTTATGATATTTAGTAATTGATATAGAACTACCCATGATTTTTTTTATATGACGTTAAAGAGATGTTAAAGAGAGAATAAATAAAGAAATGATTGGATATTAAAACAATAAAGGTGAAAAATATTTTTTATTGTTTTTATGATTTAGTTAGTGATTAAAAATTATAAATTCTCAAGGTTCTTTTATAAGTTTTTTTTATATATTTATGTAATATATAACGCACGATACAGATCGAATGTTTAATGTAGCTGATCCAAAGTCTGTGCAGATAGACCGACACAAAACAAAAGCTTATTTCAATTAGTTTTAACCATTTTCTCAATTTGTTACTAATGTCCGTTGACCTATAAGCTTACATATCCTTTTATAGACTGCTCCGATAAAAAAAAAAAAAAAAAAAAAAGGGAAAAAAAGGAAAAAATAAATTAATAAATTAACTGTAGTAAAACTGTGGTAAAACGAAAAAAAAAAAAAAATACTTTTTTGAATTCTTCAATAAGTTGTTTACGCCTTTGCGCATTTGTTTATCTTACAAATTTTTACAAATTTTACAAATTAAAACATTAATCTCCCCATTATTTATTTAGTTGGAGTTGGACATAACCAACAAGTTGGGCATTTCTTGCAAACTTCTGGATCAGATGGAGGTACTAACTGTGCGTTCTGCACTGTTTAAAAAAAAAAATAAACAAATAAGCGATTATATTAATGTAAAGTAATGTGGATATATTTTTTTTTTTCGTGCGTTTTTTTAAATTATTTTAATAGAATTTAACTTTTTTAATAAAAAATGTGCAAATTAGGTACCAGTCAACCCCGTCATGTAAAGGAGGAATATTATTAAAAGTTCGAATTTAGAATTAATTCTCATCTTGAAACGATTAAAAAAAAAAAAATTATTATGAAATATTTCCGAGTTTGAAATTTTTTTTAGGGGCTTCCAAATGACTTTTGATATGTGATGAATATTTTTTATAAGGAAAACAATCATTAGTTTTTTTCGTGGCTTAAACGTTTGCATTTTATTCAGCCCTGAGAATTATCACGATACGATAATGTATAAAAGATGTAACGTTGATTAACTTTATAACGACTAAAATTAAATGCAACTTGAACATCCCATTAAAATTGAGTCACACTTTTATCAAATGACAAAATTTTTTCAAAAAGCCTCATTTCGATAACGACCAATGACAAAATTTCCGGTCGATTTCATCCCCTCCACAAATTTTCTTTATCCATGCAAGAAAGGTATAACATCGTAAAGTTTTTTGATTTTTACCTTTAAATCTTGTCATTCAGAAGGAAAAAAATACTGCTCTTCGTGTAATCGTTGTTTATCAAGTTTCTAACGCATTATATAATCATATTAATAATGCATACAGAGATTTTATTAATCAAAACGCAAGTGTCTAGACCGTTGACTGTGCAAATAATTCCAAATTTACATAATCATTACAAAATCGGGATCGACATGCGAACAAGGATTTCCGATCTTAACCTAATAAGGGTTTACAGTTTTTTAATATAGGATTGCTTAAAGGAAACGATTCTCGGGTTGTGAAAACTAATAATATCCTACGAATCACTTTAAATCATATTTGTAATCGTTTATTTAATGAACTTTGTCACATTTAACAAAAATTACAAAACGCAATACAATATTATGAAACGGGGAGATTTGTAATTTGTTTTCAAAGCACGGATCCCAACAAATAGATATTTTCCGACGTCTGTGCCTTTATTTTAAAAAATAAAAAGAGAACTACAAATATGGAAATGGTGATGTCGATTGAACTAGTCCAAATAATATCATTTGACACTAGCTTAATTTCGGCAAATTTTATTAAAAATTTTTCCCAAACATCAAACATTTTTATTGTATGAGTGTGCCGAATTCTTAAATCAGGTCGCTCTCGCATCATTTCTCACTATATTATAAAATACATTGTCATTGATTTCTATTAAATGTTCGAACAAATTTTTTATCAAATTAGAAATTCTCATTTCGAATATCAAAAAAAAAAGATCCCTCCCACATGACTTATTATATATCTTACAGTAAAGTACAGTAGAGAGAACGAACGTTCCAAATACTAAAATTTAATGAATTAAACTTACCCAAAGATTTGAGAAAATGATTATCAAAAAAATAAATTGAAATTTTTACTGGATCTTAACTCCGGCCAAAATTATTATTTGGCGAATTTATAGTGCCGGCCCGAACTAAGGTCTAACCCAATTTAGGGCGAACCCAACCTTTATTTTAAATAACTGCTTCAAAGATTCAAAGATTAAAATTTCATATCGATTATATTATTACACAGTAATCTTTCGCCAAATATAATATCTTTCAACTGATATGCTATAAACATGTTTACATGTGAAAATAAAAATTTTGTTGACGGTGATAATTTTTATGAATTGAATTTGATTTATGAATATTGAATCGTAAATATATGTGCGATCATCATTTAATATTAAATTACACGATTAAAAATGAAAACCTTGCTTTCTCAATGCAAGTAATTAAAGATTATCGTTAGATAGACGGATACAAACGAAAAAAACCTTCTTCTCCTCTTTCCTAGTGATAGAATAATGCATGTGCTAATTTCTATTCCGTATATGTTGAATTATAAAAATAAAAATAACGTATCATGATGTTTGACCAAATATTCATGTTCCTAATTCGTATATGATGATAAATTTCAATAAGTCTGATGTAAGAGGAATTCTTATGTCATCTTTGTTGTTATGCATGAATTTGAAAATTTAATTATTAATATATTTTGTCGTTATCGTCAAATCTTTTGCTTATTCCCCGAATGCAATGTTGAGATGAGTGTGGGGGTTATTCCGAAGCTTTTATGGTATACAATGCCGTAATTTTTTTTTATTTTCGAAATTTCCATTTTTACACCGACATTAAATATGGAAAGAGTAGAACAAAGGAATGGAAATTTGTCTATATCTTTGCAATAATTTTTTTAGATGCTTGTGGTGCTTCAAAATTTTGGTTACATCATTGAAGATTGACACATTACAATTTTCTTCCTATTTTTTTTTAAAAAAATAAAGCAAAATTATGTCTATTCATAGCTTCAAAATATATAATAGATTGAAAAATGCCATCATTGGGTGGTGTAATCTACAATTTTTATATTATAATCATGAAGTTAGGCTTCACCCTGAATTCATAACATTAACATAAGTTAATATCATCATTCCTTTGATTAAAAAAATTGATTTCTCCAATATTCTTAGATTCAGATATATTGAATAATTCAAAATCATTTTGTAATAGTGATAAAAAACTGTTGTCACCGGTTAATGTCTAATCCGATAATCTTAAACAAAATTCCGGCATTACAAATTTTTTTTTTTTTTTTAAGACTGAAAATCTAGTATCTAACAACAATTTAAACTTTTTTTAAAAAAATTATCCTAATTAATACAGATATAAAAATATAATTAAACAAAATTTATCTACAGAAATCTACAGAAATATTTACTTGCAAGGATAAAGTTCGGTTCGGTTTTAGGGGTAAATGAAGATCAAATATAAATTCGGGAAAGCGTATGCAACTGTGAATGGTCGAGATTAAATACTTTATAGGGTTTAGGTTTTAGGATAAACATCCCTCGGATTAGATTTATTTGGTTTAAAACCACCCAAGATAGTAATCAAACGATTAAAATGTGACGATTTTTAATCAAGTGAAACATCCAAATTAATCTGTGCGCGCGCATCATGTTATAATTCCAGATCTCTTACCGCTTATACTCTCGTTTAAACTCGTTTGAACTTCCTACCCGCATTTCAGTTACTCGGACTTGTTGTCCATTATAAGCTAATTATTTTTGTTTCTCGGTGATTCAAAATTGGGATAAAATTGATCTCGATATTTGTCAAGTGTTTCAATTTTATAAATTTCGTACGTAATAGAAACGATCAATAAATGTAAACACACTGTTTCAACAACAAATTAAATGAATCATTTGTAAATTTCCTGTATTTATTAGCAATGGCTTTGCAATGACATAAAATGACCACCTAACGAAATCAAACAAGAAGGAGAATGTCACGTGATCAGATTGTAAATCAAATATCAAATATCATTCATCTTCCTCATATATCTTTTGACACCATATTCGATATACTTCACATTCTGGAGAAATACCATCCGCAACTTCTTTTCTAGCTTCTTTAAACATTTCTAAATATTGTTCTACCGAAAGTCCCATAAATTTGCACATCGTTTCAGGCATAGGTACATTTAAGAAAAATCCATTATGTACTTCTAAATATTCATGGCCAGCATTCCCTCCTCTCCTTGAGCCCAATGGAATACACTTTAATTCTGATTCAACATTTTGCACCATTGGTATTGAGTTCAAGTTACTAATAAGATTATCATACATTCGAATTTTGACATTACGAGACTCGCTTAATTCGATCACTAGGAAATATATATATATATATATTTAATTTTAATTTAATTATATACAAATTTTACGAAAATGAAAATTTTCAACTTACATGCATCATAAAATTTTGAAAGTATTGGGCCAGGATTACTTCCTAACTCAGGTTCAGTGAATTCAATGTATCCACCTGGTTTACACACTCTATTTATTTAATTAAAAGTAATATATTCGTAAATCGCGAATAATTTTCAGGGGTTAAGGTAATTATTGCAAATCATACCTAATTAGTTCCATTGTAATAAAACGCCATTGACCCAATGTATATATTTCAACCATGTTTCCTTGATGTACGTAATCAAAAGTGTTGTCTTCGAATGGAAGTCCTTCCAAAATATCACCTTGCACGAATTCCACATTATAAGGTTTAATCTATTAAAATAAATGCAAAGTTATTTTTATGCTGAAAGTTTGACTGATGAAAATATCTTGAATTACTCACTTCTGTCGGGAAAACAGGACACAAATCAATTCCAATAAAATTTGAGGATTTATAAATCGAAGCCATGTCTAATACCCAAGTTCCCGCCCCGCAACTGTTAGCCGATCATAAGTGAAGTAAATAAGTTAATGGAACGAAAAAAAAATAAAAAATAAAAAATCATGGAATATACAATATTTACCATGCATCTAAGATTTTAAAGTTTCCATCAATCAACTGTTCTTCTATCGGAGCATTAAAGTTGCTTTGAAAGAGGTATCGATCAAGAAAATGTAAGATTACCATTATGTCTGTGTCTTCTATGAAATTCGGTAGGAAATATTTTAAAGGTTCTGCATCTTTTTGTACATTTTGAACGCTTTCAAATGCAAATGAAGCGCGTTTAGACCTGATGGATTTGCGCGCCCTAAAAGTTGAGAATGCTTTTCCCATTGTTGTTAGAAGAGTTTTGAGCATTTAATAAAGGAGGAGGATTTTCGTTTTTTCTTCTTTTTTTTTTTTAAAAAAAAAAAAAGATATATATATACTGTAAAAATATGTGATATGTGCGTGTGTATTATGTATATGCATTACTTAACGATGACTAATAGTGATCATCACTCTTTCTAAAATAGCAATTTCCCGATAATTCCAATGTCTGTTTTCATTACTGGAAAGTTTGGCTTCATCAAAAAGCAAATCTTTCTCATCCGATTTTAAATTAAATTATAAACTTTCGCGGGTATCAATCACTTTAACTTATTTATATAAATACAGTTTAAAAAATAACGATGGTTACACGAAAAATCACCTAGTACTAAAGATTTATTTGGGCTGTTCTTGGTATCTGATATCTTGAAACTTTGAAACTGTAGTGTTGAACCAATATGAATTAGTTAATAATCGGCGATTTCAAGACTGACAATAAAATTATTATGAAAATTACATTTTATTAAAGTCAAATCATATTTGGGTAAAATGTCGATTATTAACTCTAGTTCTCGATGTATTCATTAATTAATTAATTATTGATGAAAATTAAACTAACAAAATGAAATAATTAATTAATTTTACGTAATAATTTTTTTTATAAAAAAAATAAAAATTCAACATTATTATCATCTTTTTTGACACCATATTCTGTAAACTTCACAATCAGGTGAAATACCATTCATAACTTCATGTTTGGCTTTTTTAAACAATTCTAAATAGTCTCCTTCCGAAAGTCCCATAATTTTGGACAAATTTTCGGGCATAGGAACGTTTGAAAAAAAGTCATTATGTATCTCCAAATATTCATTGCCGAAACACTCCGAACCCAATGAAATCACTTCTTTCTTAGATTCAACATTTTGCACAGATGGTGTTGAGTTCAAGATTCTGATAAGATTATCATACATTCGCATGTTCACATTACGGGTTTCGCTTAATTCGACCACTAGGTGTTATTTTTTTTTTTAAAAAAAAAAATGATAATTATAATTTCTTTCTAATTTCAAAAAAAAAAAGAAAAAAATTATCTTATCTTACATGCATCATAGAATTTTGAAAGTATTGGACCAGTATTAGTTGCCAATTCTGGTTCAATGAATTCTATGTATCCACCTGGCTTACACACTCTGGAATTTTATTTAAATCGGAATAAATATTTGTAATATCGAGAGTAATTTCGATAATGCTTAAACTTACCTGATAATTTCCGTTATAATAAAATACCATTGATCCATTGTATATACATCTGCCATATGTCCTTGATGAACATAATCAAATGTATTATCATCGAATGGAAGTCCCGTCAAAACATCGCCTTGTATAAATTGCACATTTTCCGGTTTAATCTGGATAAAATTCAATGTTATTCTTGTTTGTAGGAAGTTGAAATTATCTTGTATTACTCACTTCTGTCGGGAATACAGGGCACAAATCAATTCCAAAAAATTTCGATGAACCATAAGCTGAAGCCATATCTAATAACCAGGTTCCCGCCCCGCAGCTGTTAAGGTAAAAATTCATAATGACCAATCGTTAAAAAAATCTAACCAGCTCAGACCGTCAATATAAATTGACCAGAGTTAAAAAACGAGTAGTTCCATCCAATCGAATGTTAATTTCTCCCATTCAACTGAAATTTTTATTTAATAAAAATAATAAAAATTATTTACCATACATCAAAGACTTTACATTGTTCACTAATCAATTTTTCTTCAATCGGAGCGTTAAAATTGCTTTGAAAAAGGTATCGAGAAAGAAAATGTGACACCACCATTATATCTGTATCTCCTATGAAATTCGGTAGGTAATATTTTAAAGGTTCCGCTTCATTTTGTACATTTTGTACACCCTCGATTTCCAATGATGCATGTTCGGACCTGATATTTTTGCGCAACTTGCCAGTTGAACAGGATATTCCCATAGAAATGAGTTTTAGATTTAGAAGGATTTTGAAAATTTATAAAGGAAGGTAAGCTTTATTTTATTCTCTTGAAAATAAAAATTTTATTTCGAGTTTATATATATGTGTATCTTTTTGTAATTATCGGGAATTGCTATTTTCGGAATGAGATTCGTGACGTGAAATCGACATTAGTAATTTACTTTCAAAATCCTTTTGGTTTAAAATCTGACTTTTTCAAAAAGAATCGAAATTATTAAATTTTTGTGAACCTAATAATATAGTTTAAAAATAACAATGGTTAAACTAAAAATGCCTTGTAGTACTAAAGATATATTCGGCTGGGGAACCGACGTTTTGAAACATTAAAATTAATTACTAACTCGAAATGCACTGCTTTGATTTGTGGATCATAATTTATTTATTGCGCAATGAGCATGACCTAATGAGTATCAAAATATTTGGCCGTAATTTTTGAATAACGTGAATGCAATTTTAATAACGCTAATAAAATTGAAAAAAAAAATAAAAAAATATTCTAACATTATTATCATCTTTTTAGACACCAAATTCTGTAAACTTCACAATCAGGTGAAATACCACTCCTAATTTCATTTTTAACCTTTTTAAATAATTCTAAATAGTCTCTTTCCGATATTCCCATAAATTTAGACAAAATTTCGGGCATAGGAACGCTTAAGAAAAATTCATCGTGTATCTCCAAATATTCATAGCCACAGCATCCTGAACCCAATGAAATAACTTCTTTTTTAGATTCAACATTTTGCACTGATGGTGTTGAGTTCAAGATCCTAATAAGATTATCATACATTCGTATGTTCACATTACGGGTTTCGCTTAATTTGACCACTAGGTGTTATTATTTTCAAAAAAAAAAAAATTTTTATAATTAATTTTCTTTTTAATCTCAAAATAAGAAAAAAGTTGGTTTATCTTACATGCATCATAGAATTTTGAAAGTATTGGACCAGTATTAGTTGCCAATTCTGGTTCAATGAATTCTATGTATCCGCCTGGTTTACACACTCTGGAATTTTATTTAAATTGAAATAAATATTTGAAATATCTTGAGTATTCTCGGTGATGCGTAAACTTACCTAATTATTTCCGTTATAATAAAATGCCATTGATCCATTGTATATACATCTAACATGTGTCCTTGATGAACGTAATCAAATGTATTATCATCGAATGGAAGTCCCGTCAAAACATCGCCTTGTACAAATTGCACATTATCCGGTTTAATCTAGATAAAGTACAATTATTTCCTTTGTTTTTGAATTGGATCGTAAAAAAAAAAATTTATCCTTGACCACTTACTGCTGTTGGAAATACCGTACACAAATCAATTCCAAAAAATTTCGATGAACCATAAGCTGAAGCCATATCTAATAACCAAGTTCCCGCCCCGCAGCTGTTGAGGTAAAAATGCAGAATAACAAATTTTAAATAATCCAACGGTTTTTGATAACCAATATAAAATTGGCCTGAGTTAACAAAAGCTTAACAAATTATAAAAATTATTTACCACACATCTAAGATTTTGCATTGTTCACTAGATAATCTTTCTTCAATCGGAGCGTTAAAATTGCTTTGAAAAAGATATCGACCAAGAAAATGAAATATCACCATTAAATCTGTGTCTCCTATAAAATTCGGTAGGTAATATTTTAAAGGTTCTACATCCTGAACAAATAGTTCATCATCAAATTCCAATCTGGACTTGATGGTTTTGCTCACTCTACAAGTTGAAAAGACTATTCCCATTGAGTTTCAAAATTAATTTTGAAAATTAATAAAGGTGTGAATTTTTTTATTCCATATATATAAAAAAAACAAAGTTTATATATAAATATATATTTAATGGTGATCATCTCGAAGATTTCACATTCCAAAATAGCAACTCCCGATAATTTACATTACATACAATTGTTTTCATTTGGTCTTTTTTTTGTAACATATTTGAAAAGTAAATCGATATTAAATTTTCGCAGCTAACAGTTAATTATGGTTTTAAAAATAACAATGGTGACACCAAGAATATCAAGTCTGAAAATCTTATCGTTCTGTTATTGGTTCCGATTTTGGTTAATTCGAGTCAACAGTATGAAAATTACATTATCCCCTATGAATAAATTGATGTTCGGAATTTGTCCTTAAAAAATCCCGGATGGACAAATTCCGGATGATTAAAATATTATTTACTCTAGTTCTTCAATCCTTGTTTTACCAAAACGTAATACGAAATTCGAAATACGTAATTATTTATTGAATAAACCAAAGGCAAATTGTAATAATGCTTATGGCGCTAGTGATATTATATATAACAATTAAAACGAAATAATATTAATTGAAGGAAAGTATGTTATAGTTTAGCGTGTTTTTTTTTTGTTTTTTTTAAAAAAAAAATTACATTGTTCTCATCTCTTTTGACACCATATTTTGTAGACTTCACAATCGGGTGAAATATCATTTTCTACTTCACTTTTGGCTATTTTAAATAATTCTAAATAGTCTTCTTCCGAAAGTCCCATAAATTTGGACAAAGTTTCGGGCATAGGAACGTTTAAAAAAAATCCATTATGTATCTCCATATATTCATAGCCGACATATCCTCCTCTCTTTGAACCCAATGAAATCACTTTTTTCTTAGATTCAACATTTTGCACAGATGGTGTTGAGCTCAAGATTCTAATAAGATCATCATACATTCGAATGTTCACATTACGGGTTTCGCTTAATTCGACCACTAGGTGTTATTTTTTATAAATATTTGTTTCAAAAAATTTATTAATAAAATTTCATTTTAATCAAATGTTTTATCTGTTTTATCTTACATGCATCGTAGAATTTTGAAAGTATTGGACCAGTATTAGTTGCCAATTCGGGTTCAATGAATTCTATGTATCCACCTGGCTTACACACTCTAGAATTTTATTTAAATCGGAATAAATATTTGTAATATCTTGAATAATTTCGGTGATGCGTAAATTTACCTGATAATTTCCGTTATAATAAAATGCCATTGATCCATTGTATATACATCTAACATGTGTCCTTGATGAACATAATCAAATGTATTATCATCGAATGGAAGTCCCGTCAAAACATCGCCTTGTACAAATTGCAAATTTTCCGGTTTAATCTAGATAAAGTCCAAATTTAATCTTTATTTGTTTGAAGTTGCATCTGTGCAATTTTCTTGTATTACTCACTTCTGTCGGGAAAACAGGGCACAAATCAATTCCAAAAAATTTCGATGAACCATAAGCTGAAGCCATATCTAATAACCAGGTTCCCGCCCCGCAGCTGTTGAGGTAAAAATGAAAGGATAGCAACAACGTTAACAATTTCAATGGTTGATAGTCTTCTAAGCATAATTCCATCCAATTTTAATTTCGCCGTTCAACTGAAAAATTATTTACCACACATCCAAAATTTTACATTGTTCGCTAGTCAATTTTTCTTCAATCGGAGCGTTATAATTGCTTTGAAAAAGATATCGATGAAGAAAATGTGACATCACCATTATATCTGTGTCTCCTATAAAATTCGGTAGGTAATATTTTAAAGGTTCTGTTTCTTTTTGAACATTTGGGACGTTTTGGGGTTTAAAACTTTTTTTACAAAATGAAAGAACGATTCCCATAGTTGCGTTTAAATATAAAGTAATTTTTTTTATTCCTTATTCTATTTTTTTTTTTTTAAAAAAAAAATTCATTTCAAGTTATATAAACATTCAAAAAATTTTTTTGTTGTACCAAATTAATGATCATCACAAGGTAATAAGTTCATTCCAATATTGGTAATCCCGATAAATAAAGTTATGATTTAAAATTTGATTTAATACCAGAAGTGATCATAATTTAAATCCCCACCTTATTGCTTGCGAATCTTTTTTTTATTCTATACAGGTTAGTTCATTTTCGAGGGTATGATGATAAATCCAATAATCAAATCGGATCGACGAATTACCTGTTATTTCTTATTATTATTTGATGATGTACGTTTGGTTTTGTGTTTCTTAAGAGATGAAAAACATTCCCATTTTGAAATGAAAGTAAAGAAAAAAAATCGCATCAATGGTTTATCAATCAAGTGAGCTCACACTAAGCGTTCTGGACCTTGTTAGCTAATTATTCATCATATTTACTTTCCTGCATTAGGTACAGTATTTATAAGATATGAGTTGATTTACTCCAAAATTGGGAACGATTTAATTAATTGAACCGTTCAATAAAATCTCGTGTTACACCGATTTAGGGGAAAAATGAAATTAGCACAAGTCTACTAAAATATTTTATTCAGCCAACAAGAAAATGTAGTGAAAGTTAAAATTAGTGAGGTGGTCAAACAGATTAAATACCATCAACACGAAAACTTAAGATTTAACAAGAGATTCTGCTTTAATAGGCAGAACGATTTTCCTCTAGTAAACATATTAAACACACGAGTGAAACTAGGATCATTGAATCATAATTAACAAAACATAATAAATGATCATTGATGCAAGTAATATAGTAAAAACAACTGGTAATTAAAACAAAAAAATTATTTAAATATTCAGATAAATGATACTTCTAAATTCTTCTTAACAATGAACAATATTAATAATTTTACTTATAATACAAATCAAGCAGGAGTCTTTATTATATATATAACTTTGTATATTACAGTACCTTGCTATAACAAATCTTAAAGGTTTAAATACCACTAAAATTTTATTAAAGGATAAAGCATCGGATCTTATAGTTTGAAAAAAGAGAATACATATAAAATTTTAATATATTACAAAGTTTTAAAAATTCAAATTCTTTTAAAAAATATATATTAATATTTGAATAAAATTTATTTATATCTTAAAGTATAAATAATAAAAAAATTTTTTTTATTATCTTTATTCAAATTATAAACATTTAAAGAAATTAATAATATAAGCCAAATAAGCTAGCTTATAAGACTCATAAATCAACTCAGCTTATTACATTATATACTTAAGTTAAGTTAAGCCAAGTTAAAATAAATCAGCTTAATTCAAACTAATATTAAGCCATTTATTTATACAGGATTTTATATAATATTATATATAACTTATGGTATAATATAAATAATAATTAAATTCTTTTAGTTTAGTTAAAATATTATTATTTTCTTATAAATTTTCAAAATATAATAGTAATAGTAATACAGTCAAACCTTGATATAGTGAACCCTTGATATAGCGAATTTTTAAATCAAATATATTAAAATTACCTTACTATAGTGAACTAGCCAATTAAATTCTTTAAAAAATTCATTATAAGCTTATAACAAAGTTGATATCCAGATCCTAGAATTCATTATATCAAGAGTTCACTGTAATTATTTTGCTTTTTTATATATATGCAACTCAAATTATTTTACAAATATTAAAAATCAAAATTATATATTTATTTTAATATTTTAATATTTTTATATATAATTAATTGACTTGTATTATCTTTATTTAAAATAAGTAATAAAATTACAAAACAGAGAAATATATACAAATTTCTATTTAATCTAAACTATATTAAAATCAATTTTGTATATTTGTATATATTCTATAAGAAAGTATCTAACATATATTTTTTGAAATTATATAAAACTCTATAATATTACTTAAGTAAAAATCAGATACAGCAAATCACATAATTAAAAACATAATATAAAAAGCGGAATTAAATATTATTGTCAAAAAGTCACAATAAATGATCTTATAATGAAAATGTAATTAAAGATTGTAATATCAATCAATAAAATTAGCATTATATAATGCAATACAGTCAAACCTTGATATAGCGAACCCTTGATATAGCGAATTTTTAAATCAAATATATTAAAATTACCTTTACTATAGTGAACTAGCCAATTAAATTCTTTAAAAAATTCGTTATAAGCTTATAATGAAGTTGATATCCAGATCCTAGAATTCGTTATATCAAGAGTTCACTGTATATTATATCTAAAAATTAGAAGCAAATATTGTAATTATAAAAAGATATTGTAATATAGTTAAAGTATTAATAATTCTTATACAATCAAATGTAGTAATTATATAATAAAAATATATAGTTATAACTATGCAATAATTAGGTATTTAAAAGTAATTCTTGTATAATAATTATTTAATATATTTAATATTTGAGGTTTTAAGTCAATCCAAAATATATAAATAGGATAATTAGAATTATTTGACAAGTCAGACAAAGGAATTAGTCAGTTTTTGAGTAATTAGTTTTAGAGAAAATGTAATATAAAGTATTAGCTGTAATAATTGTATAATTAAATATAACATTATAATTTTTTAATAAATACTTTCTTTTATTTTAATAAAATTATTCTTTCATTAATTGTCTTATAATTAAAGATGGACACCATAATTAAGAAGTTGCAACTTGGTTACAACTCCTTGTAAATTTATTTTAATATAAAAATTCATAAAATGTTGCAACTTAAAGTATTGCAACTTAAGTTGCAATTAGTTAAAAATTTTAAAAATAATTATGGGAATCATCTTTACTTATAATATTTGTATAATCTATTTATATACAACATCTATAATAGTTTATTAAATCTTAATATTTAAATAAATTACTATATAGAAGATTTGTTAGGAAAATAGGATTCTAAGCATTTTTTATTAAAATTTTAATAGAAAATGTTTAGAGTCACTTTTTCTTAGCAAACTTCCCATATAGTTCAACTTAAAAAATTATAATGAATTTATTATTTTTGATGATAGTTAA